TGGACCAGTTCTGCAGCCTGTCCAGATCCCTTTGTAGTTCTGCCTGGTCTTCGATCGAATGAACTCTTCTCATCAACTTCACGTCATCTGCAAACAGGGACACCTCGGAGTTTATTCCTTCCGTCATGTCGTTCACAAATACCAGAAACAGCACTGGTCCTAGGACTGACCCCTGTGGGACCCCACTGGTCACAGGTGCCCACTCTGACACCTCGCCACGTACCATTACTCGCTGCTGTCTTCCTGACAAGTATTCCCTGATCCATTGCAGTGCCTTCCCTGTTATCCCTGCTTGGTCCTCCAGTTTTTGCACTAATCTCTTGTGTGGTACTGTGTCAAAAGCCTTCTTGCAGTCCAAGAAAATGCAATCCACCCACCCCTCTCTCTCTTGTCTTACTGCTGTCACCATGTCATAGAACTCGTGTGTGTGTGTGTGTGTGTGTACTCACCTATTTGTGGTTGCAGGGGTCGAGTCATAGCTCCTGGCCCCGCCTCTTCACTGATTGCTACTAGGTCCTCTCTCTCCCTGCTACATGAGCTTTATCATACCTCGCCTGAAAACTATGTATGGTTCCCGCCTCCACTACTTCACTTTCTAGACTATTCCATGACTTGACTACTCTATGACTGAAGAAATACTTCCTAACATCCCTTCGATTCATCTGAGTCTTCAACTTCCAATTGTGACCTCTTGTGTCTGTGTCCCATCTCTGGAACATCCTGTCTTTGTCCACCTTGTCTATTCCGCGCAGTATTTTATATGTCGTTATCATGTCTCCCCTGACTCTCCTGGCCTCCAGTGTCGTCAGGCCGATTTCCCTCAACCTTTCTTCGTAGGACAATCCCCGTAGCTCTGGGACTAGTCTTGTTGCAAACCTTTGCACTTTCTCTAATTTCTTGACGTGCTTGACTAGGTGTGGATTCCAAACTGGTGCTGCATACTCCAGTATGGGCCTGACGTAAATGGTATACAGGGTCTTTAACGACTCCTTACTGAGGTATCGGAACGCTATCCGTAGGTTTGCCAGGCGCCCATATGCTGCAGCAGTTATCTGATTTATGTGCGCCTCAGGAGATATGCTCGGTGTTATACTCACCCCCAGATCTTTTTCCTTGAGTGAGGTTTGCAGTCTTTGGCCATCTAAACTATATTGTGTCTGCGGTCTTCTTTGCCCTTCCCCAATCTTCATGACTTTGCATTTGGCAGGGTTAAACTCAAGGAGCCAGTTGCTGGACCAGGCTTGCAGCCTGTCCAGGTCTCTTTGTAGTCCTGCCTGATCCTCATCTGATTTGATTCTTCTCATTAACTTCACATCATCTGCAAACAAGGACACTTCTGAGTCTATCCCTTCCGTTATGTCGTTCACATATACCAAGAACAGCACAGGTCCTAGGACTGACCCCTGTGGAACCCCGCTTGTCACAAGCGCCCACTCTGACACCTCGTCACGTACCATGACTCGTTGTTGCCTCCCTGTCAGGTATTCTCTGATCCATTGTGTGTGTGTGTGTGTGTGTGTGTGTGTGTGTGTGTGTGTTAGATAGGAGTGAATGGAGACGAATGGTACTTGGGACCTGACGATCTGTTGGAGTGTGAGCAGGGTAATATTTAGTGAAGGGATTCAGGGAAACCGGTTATTTTCATATAGTCGGACTTGAGTCCTGGAAATGGGAAGTACAATGCCTGCACTTTAAAGGAGGGGTTTGGGATATTGGCAGTTTGGAGGGATATGTTGTGTATCTTTATATGTTTATGCTTCTAGACTGTTGTATTCTGAGCACCTCTGCAAAAACAGTGATAATGTGCGAGTGTGGTGAAAGTGTTGAATGATGATGAAAGTATTTTCTTTTTGGGGATTTTCTTTCTTTTTTGGGTCACCCTGCCTCGGTGGGAGACGGCCGACTTGTTGAAAAAAAAAAAAAAAAAAATGTATATATATATATATATATATATATATATATATATAAAATATATATATATATATATATATATATATATATATATATTATATTATATATATATATATTATATATATATATATATATATATATATATATATATATATATATATATATATATATATATATATATATATATATATATATATATATATATATATATATATATATATATATATATACCCCTAGACCAAAGATTGTTTTATATGCTAGTAAAATGATAAATTATTTTGTGTGTATATATATCCCGAACTCTGTATTACAAAATTAGTAAACTGCTACTCAAAAAATTACTTTTTTTGTAATAACCAGGCTGTTACTGCTGGCTGCACACAATCCAACATATGAGCCACAGCCCAGCTGGTCAGGTGCTTGTCCAGTGCCTGCTTGAAGACAGCCAGGGGTCTATTGGTAATCCCCCTTATGTATGCTGGGAGGCAGTTGAACAGTCTCAGGCCCCTGACACTTATTGTATTGTCTCTTAACGTGCTAGTGACACCCCTGCTTTTCATTGGGGGATGTTGCATCTTCTCCCGAGTCTTTTGCTTTCGTTGTGAGTGATTTTCGTGTGCAAGTTCGGTACTAGTCCCTCTAGGATTTTCCCGGTGTATATAATCATGTATCTCTCCCGCCTGTGTTCCAGGGAGTACAGGTTCAGGAACTACAAGCGCTCCCAGTAACTGAGGTGTTTTATCTCCGTTCTGCGTGCCGTGAAGGTTCTCTGTGCATTTTTCTAGGTCAGCAATTTCACCTGCCTTGAAAGGTGCTGTTAGTGTGCAGCAATATTCCAGCCTAGAGAGAACAAGTGACTTGAAGAGTGTCATCATGGGCTTGGCATCCCTAGTTTTGAAGGTTCTCATTATCCATCCTGTCATTTTTCTAGTAGATGCGATTGATACAATGTTATGGTACACCATGTGGAAGAACTCTCATAGTACACCATGTGGAAGAACTGTCCTAGTTTACCATGTGGAAGAACTAGCATAGTACACCATGTGGAAGAACTCTCATAGTACACCATGTGGAAGAACTCTCATAGTACACCATGTGGAAGAACTCTCATAGTACACCATGTGAAAGAACTCTCATAGTACACCATGTGGAAGAACTCTCATAGTACACCATGTGGAAGAACTCTCATAGTACACCATATGGAAGAACTCTCATAGTATTTAATTCTGGACGTACTTTTTCAACGGAATTTACAAAAAATTACAGGATATAGAGGAGGTATACAAGACAGCTGACTGTATACAGAAGAGCTTTATTCAAAAGCTGACTGAATGTAAAGGAGCTTTATAAAAGAGCTGACTGTATATACAGGAGCTTTATCCAAGAGCTGACTCTACAGGAGGGCCCTGCTTTACACCACTTCACTTTACAGTGCTTTACCCATTCTTCATTTATTCAAACTTCCTACAATATATTCACTACTCACTATAAGCTAAGAATGAAAATATTTTATGGTAAGTAGTGTGTGTAAAGGAGGGGTGTTAACGTTGCAGTTTTTTAACTGTAGAGTAAGTGCGCCTCTGGCAACACAGTGATGGAGTGAATGATGGTAAAAGTTTCTTTTTTGGGCCACCCTGCCTCGGTGGGAGACAGCCAATGTGTTAATAATAAAAAAAGTAGTGTACTGTATATGCAATTTTTAGGCCTAGCTCTATTGCTCACTTAATATATGATAGTATTATCATGTTATCAGGCTATGTTTCACATAACAGCAGTAGCCCAGAATCTAACCTTCTGTATAAGCAGGGCCCGCTTGTATTTAGATGCACTATATAAGACAACTGACTGTATAACAAGTGACCAAGCAATATGGTTGTATGGAATGAACATTCTTAATAGATTTTCATCATTGCGAGGCAGTACTAAACCCATGAGGGTTGTAGTGCCTGTAGAATGAAGGGTAATTAGGTTTGAGTTGCATAAAATATTACATATTATAATCATGGGAAGCACTAAACCTATAGGATTATACAGAGCCTGTGGGGAGGGGGGGATGGAAGGCATTCAGGCTTAATTTAGGGAGCTGGAGCTCAGATCCAATTCCCTAGATCAAGAGCCCCTCACCAGTGTCAAGAACCTTCCCTTGAGGGGTTTCATAAAATAAAGGAGTTCCAATTTCTTGGATCAAGAGCTCTTCACCTGCATCAGGGCAATCCCTCCAAGACAGCTTTTTGAGAGACTTAATCCCAATATACAATAAAGATCAACACACAAAAATAGAGCCACATAGGAGAGAGGAACTTATTATGACATTTTGGTTTGACTCGGTCCAAGTTGGACAAAAATGTTGTCGCAAGTTTCTCTCTCCTATGTAAGGGTTATTTGTGTACGGTTTCAGTTATAGCATCAGTGGCGGCTCGTCCACAGGAGCTGCAGAGCTGCAGTCCCCCAAGATGCTCACTGCCAGACATATGACTTCATCAACCTTACAGTAAAATAATTTCCAACTGGCAAATGCGTACTGTATATTAAAGGAAAAATCTGTTGTATGTTGTTTGCAATGTATTTATAACTGAATTTTTATTTTTTTTGTTGAAACGAGATAAAAAAAATTATTAAAAATAGAAGCTTGATACGGTACGATAGTACAGTGGACCCCCGGTTAACGATATTTTTTCATTCCAGAAGTATGTTCAGGTGCCAGTACTGACCGAATTTGTTCCCATAAGGAATATTGTGAAGTAGATTAGTCCATTTCAGACCCCCAAACATACACGTACAAACGCACTTACATAAATACACTTACATAATTGGTCGCATTGGGAGGTGATCGTTATGCGGGGGTCCACTGTATAGGTATTACTGTCACTACGAGCCGCTACTGCATAGCATTGTGCCTTTCTTTTTATTAAAGAATATTTTTTTCAACATTCTGGCAGCATCCCACCGTGGCAAGGTGACCTAACAAGAAAAATTCAAGTCTTTCTTTTTAAATTAAGTAATGTACACAGGAGAAGGGGCTACCAACCCGTTGCTCCTGGCATTTTACGTTAGTGGCTTACCGAGGAAGGATTCTTGAAGAAACTCACCTTTCAATGGGTACAGTGTGGGGTCCTGAGTTGGCCATAGTATGAAGATATCTTAAAAATTTGTCAAAAGTATCGAAGAAAGGCCAGCGGGAAAGGATGCATATGCACTTGTTGGTGTGGACTACATTGTGTCTGCCAAAGTGCTCATTCAATTTAAGGGTTTCCCTCTGCTCCTGAGTCAGGGCGCTATGGGGGTATCTCTCATAAAAGGTCACAGCTGCCCCGTAAACTTTTTCCACGGCCTCCGTGTTGCCTTCTCCAGCTGTGACGGTCAGCACGAAGGTGGAGAAGACGGGCTGAGGCTTGATGGCCAGTTCAGGCCATGACTCTAGTGTGGCACCCATGGGAAGGCAGAAGAGTGCCAGGTCAGTGGGGATGGGGAAGCCAGGACGATGGTGAAATGGATAGTAGTCAAGCACACCAGCCATGTAAGCTATGTAGTTTAATCGATTCATAGACTTCTTGTAGCACACATAGATGTCTGACCCAACCTGGAATACAGAAGATTACAGTTGCTAATGTCAATAATACAGAGTAGCTTTAACAAATACTTCAGATGAACTAAAGACACTCATAACAGAGAAACTTCTAATACAACGTTTTGCCCATGGCTTAATAAAGCCCAACCTGGGGTGAAACATTAAAAAGAATTCTCTGCTACTGCTATCTTTATTTCCACTTATCAGTTTTTGCAATTGTCTATCAAATAACTGAGATACATGAATTTCAAAGAAGTGAATCTCTCTAGAAACTTGCACACTATATTTTCATCCATTTAAAAGTCTTAGCATGGACTTAATGGTCTGCCTCCACTAAATAAAGATGACAAACCAGTAACGGACAGAGTTTGCACCCAGAGGGAGCGAGTTGTAAAACTCTAGGGTTCAAACTCCACCTGTTCCATGGTTTGTTTACAATTGTATTTTGATTTCCTTAAGTTAAAGATAACTTCACTTCATGTTTGCAAATTATACATGTATGTATTTCACTTTAGTTAATCACTGTTATTTATTCTCCTTTCTAAACTTGGTAGTATTCAGTCCTTTTGTTATAAATTAAAAAACACTCAGAATAAATTGCATTACAAATATAACCCGCATGTAGGAGAATGACATGACAATGTTTCGGTCCAACTTCGACCATTAACCCCTAAACTATCCAAACATAGATCTAAGGTTACGTGCGTAGTGTTCCAGACGTAGATCTACGTCTGATTTTACATGCTTTATGTAAAAAAAAAGTAGATCTATGATCGGAGTGCTACGCACGTCAACGTAGATCTACATTTGGACGGCTTAAGGGTTAGCTAGTTACGAAATGTCGGCGTAAGTATCATTACCCTATGTGCAGGTTATTTGTGTGTTGTTACAGTCACGGTATTGTGCCTTTTTATTCAAAATAAATTTCAATTATATCCCCTTGTTCACCTTTAAATATTTCCTATCCTGCATTTATTGTTGTACATATTTTGAAAGAAATCACAATACAACGCTGACCACAGATATGTAAAAATACCAGAGTGAAAATAGGAAATAAAACCTGAGTGCTTTCATGTGCTTCTACACACACATTTTCAGGAGAATAGGAAGAAAAGGCAAGAGAAGCACATTTTAAATGTTATACAGAGAGGTGACACCTCACTCAGAGAAGGTGACAGATCATCCAATGAGGTGCTACCTAACTCAGTAAAAGGGCCTGATACCTGCATACATTTCTCCAGTATAACACCTGACACATACATTGCAAAACCCTAATCCTTTGTGCAGTTGAAAATTGCATGCAGATCAACAAGAGGACAACTATGCCATACTGACCATAGTTCCTTTATTGAGGTTGCGGTCAATAGTGCAGTACGAGTGAGGTGCTTGGTCGCCCCGGTTAGTCATGACAACACACACATCAGACACCACCAGTTCATTGCACGCTGCGTTGTCACTTGCCCGTCTGTGCGAAGTGAGATGATTATTCAACAATGATATATGTGCTTGAGGGGCACTGTGTCCTGAGATGATAAACTCTTGCCACAGACAACTAAGAGTGCAACAATATATATCAAACCAAAAGCTCTTTAAAAGTAATGTAAGCATAATGTTCCATTACGGTGGCATTCACACCTACATTCAAAAAGTTAGCCAAGATTGTCACTGAAAATTTCCTTGTTGTATCAATGATGCTGACTAACCTTTAATGAAAAATTTAATTCTGACTTTACACTTCAATGAAAAATTTAATTCTGACCTCACGCTTCAATGAAAAATTTAATTCTGACCTTACGCTTCAATGAAAAATTTAATTCTGACTTTACACCTTAATGAAAAACTTAATTCTGACCTTACACCTTAATGGCTACAGAAATAAACCTCCAGAATTATAGCTATGCACTATATTCTTGGATTAAGATACTATCATCAACTCTGATCAGTGTAAAGTGAAAAGCTATTTCTACAAAATATTGAAACACAGGTAAAAACAGATGTATATATTTTTGTCAGACAGAGATGGTTTGACTTTATGCTGGTTTGACTTTACAATGGTTCAACTTTATGCTGGTTTGACTTTACGATGGTTCGACTTTACGCTGGTTCGACTTTACGATGATTCGACTTTACGATGGTTCGACTTTACGATGGTTTGACTTTACGATGGTTTGACTTTACGATGGTTCGACTTACAATGGTTCGACTTTACGATGGTTTGACTTTACGATGGTTTGACTTTACGATGGTTCGACTTACAATGGTTCATCTTACAATGGTTCAACTTACGATGGTTCAATTTTACAATGGTTCAACTTTATGATGGTTTGACTTTACGATGGTTCGACTTTACGATGGTTCGACTTTACGATGGTTTGACTCTATGATGGTTCAACTTTACGATGGTTCGACTCTAAGATGGTTCAACTTTACAACGGTTCAACTTTATGATGGTTTGACTTACAACGGTTCGACTTTACGATGGTTCAACTTTACGATGGTTCGACTTATTATGGTTCAACTTACGGTGGTTCAACTTACGATGGTTCAACTTAGGATGGTTCAGCTTACAAAGGTTCGACTTATGATGGTTCAACTTTACAATGGTTCGACTTTTTGATGGTTTGACTTACAATGGTTCGACTTTACGATGGTTCGACTTTACGATGGTTCGACTTATGATGGTTCAACTTACGATGGTTCAACTTACGACAGTTCAACTTACGATGATTCAACTTACAATGGCTCAACTTATGATGATTCAACTTTACAATGGTGCAAAAGTACTTTGGAGATGAAACTTAAGATAATTACCCAACATGAAGATGGAAAGTCCATAACTTATATTCTTTTATTTACTTTTCAATGCTGATATTAGTTACATTAATTATTTGTTTATTTATTTATTCAGTGACAGTAATTATTTACTTATTATTTAGCATATCATAATCACATTCAACTTACAATATTTTTGACTTACATTTTTGACTGATGATGGATTTGTAGGAATGTAACCCCCACCGTAAGTCAATTAGCACCTGTACATGTATACACATACAGATTTGCATATGACCTGGATGGCAGGGAGTGGCCAAGATTTTTTTTTTTTAATAGCCCTTAAACTATCCAAACGTAGATCTACGTTTTTTTTTACACTCTTTCAAATGGGGAAAAACAAGGTCGGAGCGCTACGCATGTGAACGTAGATCTACTTTTGGACAGTTTAAGCATTAACACATGGCCTATTTCCCACCAAGGTAGGGTGATACCCCCCCAAAAACAAAAAACTTTCATCATCGCTCACTCCATCACTGTCTTGCCAGAGATATCCCCATAATACCTGTAAGTCATGTACGTAGTTTGGCCGGAAGGGTTGATATTTGCACTGCGTCCCCCATGTGTAAACTCCACAACCTGTGAGTCTGCCATTACACGTTCCCGGCCCTCATACAACACACTGAAAAATGAAGGCAGTGGTATTTAAAACAATTTAAACCAAAATACAGTAGTACTTCAAATTTCAAACAGCTCCCAACTATAACAATTATGTAAGTGTATTTTTGTAAGTGCTTTTATAAGTGTATTTTTGGGGGTCTGAAATGGACTAATCTAATTTACATTATTCCTTATGGGAACAAATTAGTTCAGTAATGGCACTCGAACAGTCTTCTGGAACGAATTTCAGCTGAAATTCGAAGTACCACTGTACTATTTTTTTTTTCCAACAAATAGGCTGTCTCCCACCAGGGTAGGATGACCCAAAAAAGAAGAAACACTGTCATCATCATTCACCCCAAAACAGCAGAGTGCACTCCTCAAATTTTCATAATTAAGAATATTACATTACGAGTTATCCAGACTTCATAGGTAATAAAACAGTGCATGCACTGTTTTGTTACTTATCAAACTTCTAGCTGCCAACAGCAACAGCCTGGTTAAACAGGAAAGCAACAAAAGAGCTTGGCCTCAAGCCAGGCTTAGAAGGCAGAAACAATCCTCAAATCCTGTCAATGGTCCATCATAAGTACGTACGTATATGCATATTACATGACTGGTCAAACTCAAGTCACCATTTCCCTCCAGGAACGTAGCAACATCAAGATGAATCAGTAAGCAAAACAAAAAACATTATTATCACATAAAGAACACAAAAGCACAGTACCATAACTGGAACAACACACAAACAACTTGCACGTAGGAGAAAGAAATTTTACGACAACTTTTTGGTCCAACTCGGACCATTAACTATTTACACTAACACACGAAGGTAATGGAGCCGGTACATATGAGAAGAGGGGAGATATTATAATTATGGGGGAGCTCTAAACCTGTAGGATTATAGAGCGCATGTGGGGGGGAGAAAGAAGGTATTCAGGCTTAATTCGGGGAACTGGAGCACAGATCCAATTCCCTAGATCAAGAGCCCCTCACCAGTGTCAAGGAACCTCCCTTGCGAGGAGAAGAGGGCAGCGATGGCTTTCTTGCCTTCATGTTTTAGTGTGACTAGTTGAATCGAAATGTCATCTTAAGGATTCTTTCTATGTTCTGGTTGTTTGTGTATTTAGTACATGTATTACAAAGAAAAGATACAATGAGGATTCTGGTGAAAAAGATAACAAGAGTATCATTTCCATGCATGCTAATCACTGTTGATTTAAACAGGCTCCTCTTTCTTTAAGATCACGTAATCCTACAGCCATCGTGTGCCTACCAGGCACAAGATGAGTGTGCCTGACACTGGGATTGAATCACGGACACTCAGTGTCTGTGGTTCAATCCCCAGCTGGGTGGAAACATTGGGCGTGTTTCCTTACACCTGCTGTCCCCGTTCACCCAGCAAGCAAGTAGGTACCTGGGAATTTGTCGACTGGTGTGGGGTGGCATCCTGGGGGACAATACTGAAGGACCACAATGGAAATAAGACAAACAGTCCTTGATGACATGCCGACTTCTTTCTTTCTTTCAACATACCAGCCGTATCCCACCGAGGCAGGGTGGCCCAAAAGAAAAAACTAAAGTTTCTCTTTTTAAATTTAGTAATATATACAGGAAAGGGGTTACTAGCCCCTTGCTCCCGGCATTTTAGTCGCCTCTTACAACACGCATGGCTTACGGAGGAAGAATTCTGTTCCACTTCCCCATGGAGGTGACATGCCGACTGTCTTGGTTAATCCAGGTGACTAATCCTCCAGGGATAATTATTATTATTATTACAGTAATAGATAAGCACTAAACCCACAAGGGTCATATGGCACTTAAATCCAGGGTTAAAAAATTCAAATAAAACCTTATCTTACTGCTGTTTATCTTGTACAGACTCTAAAGAACAAAAAGGCACAATGCTGTGACTGGAACAATGCACAAATAACCTACACACAGGAGAGAGAGAAGTTTATGATGACATTTTGCCCAACTTGGACCATTTACAAAGTGTAACTTTGTAAATGGTCCAAGTCGAACTGAAGTCATCGTAAGCTTCTCTCTCCTATGTGCGGGTTATTTGTGTGTTGTACAGCCTCTCATACAGCTTACCCTATGTCCACCAGAGGCTGTTTGTCACGCCCTCTTCTGTAACAGAGGAACATCTCCGGGGCACGTAAAGCTCCATGATTGAGGTTCGCCAGCAGACCACTTGGTGTTAACTCTATACACGTGTATCCTATAAAAGAATAGAGTGCATTAACATTTTAAAGTCTAACAAAACGATGTCAATAAAACAGCATAAAGGATTCTATTTCAACATTGCCAGCACCAAGTTGCAATAAACTACAATAAAAAAAGATACAAGGAAATCTTGCTATAATGCTGCATTTTAAAAAATCCAGCAATTCCTTAGCAAAGAATTACCGTAAATCTTTCCAAACCATAGACAGCTACTGCGAATAAACTCTGCATGTTATATTATCACTTGCACTACCTGACTGCTGTAGCAATCTGTGGTTTGGAAAGACTTACAAATCCTCCTCCTTTAAAGAATTATGGCGAGTGCAAGAAGTATTGAGCCTCTGGCACTCTGTATAAGTTGTATCACGTACAGTGGAACCTCTACTTGCGAGTTTAATCCGTTCCATGACCTTGCTCACAACTGAATTTGCTCATTTGAAGAATCAATTTTCCTAATTTAAATTAATTGAAATGCAATTAATCCGTTCCAGTGGAATTCTGTACTTCAATAATTTTGCTAATATCAACTCTAGGGCTTATTTATCTATCACAGTTCATCTATTATGACATAACAAACAATATAAATAACATAGAAACCTGATATATACTCTAGAATGAATAAAATATTTCATTATATATGTGGCAGCGGCGGCGGCCGACGAGAGTTTGTCTGGAGACAGGACAAAATACTCCTTGAATATTTTGCTATCAACTGTAAGGCTTATTCATCTATCAAAGTTCATCTAATATGAAATAATAAACAATATAAATAACATAGAAACCTGATATATACCCCAGAATGCATAAATTATGTCATAATGTAACAGGTAGAGGCGGCCACAACCTCTCCCTCTTTGTTGTGGTAAACACTGCCATCTAGTGAGGGCCTTTTGAAGTCGTCTATTATTATAATTATTATTATAGTACATTATTATATATGTAGTATTATTATTATATGTATTATTATTCCTCCATGGGGAAGTGGAACAGAATTCTTCCTCCGTAAGCCATGCGTGTTGTAAGAGGCGACTAAAATGCCAGGAGCAAGGGTCTAGTAACCCCTTCTCCTGTATATATTACTAAATTTAAAAGGAGAAGCTTTTGTTTTTCCTTTTGGGCCACCCCGCCTCGGTGGGATACGGCCGGTGTGTTGAAAGAAAGAAAGAAGATGTATTATTATTATACATACAGTGGTCCCTCAATAATCGTCCAGCGTGAAAGTCGTCCATTTCGGAAATAGTCCCGTTATTTCGTCTAAACATTGGCTCGCAAATGGTACGTTAATTCGCTAATCGTCTTTCATACGGGACACGTACTCACGGCTCTGAGCAGCCTCGGCATCCCTTCCCAGCCAGTGTACCATTGTTTACCAGTGAGCGACGGTCTCCTCACGTGTTCATACGAAATATTTCATAATACAGTGGACCCCCGGTTAACGATATTTTTTCACTCCAGAAGTATGTTCAGGTGCCAGCACTGACCGAATTTGTTCCCATAAGGAATATTGTGAAGTAGATTAGTCCATTTCAGACCCCCAAACATACACGTACAAACGCACTTACATAAATACACTTACATAATTGGTCGCATTCGGAGGTGATTGTTATGCGGGGGTCCACTGTATTCCATTCATTTTAGTGCTTGCAAGTGCTAAATAAGCTACCATGGCTCCAAAGAAAGCTCCTAGTGCCAAGCCTTTGGTAAAGAAGGTGAGAAATACAATTGAATTTAAGAAAAACATCACTGAACAATATGAATGTGGCGTACGTGTGGCCGAACTGGCCAGGATGTATAACAAACCCCATACAACCATATCTTCCATTGTGGCAAAGAAAAAGGAAATCAAGGAAGCTGTTGTTGCTTGGAGAAAATTGTGGCCAGATTGTGTCCACAAGAGGGATTTTGAAGGGTTTGTGGCTGACCCTGATGAGCCTATGTGAGTTGTGAAATCTATTGTGGCATTGGGGAGTTCCATGGGGTTGAATGTGAGTTTGGAGGATGTGGAAGAGTTGGTGGAGGACCACAACGAAGAGCTAACCACTGAGGAGCTGCAAGAGCTTCAGCAGGAAGAGCAACAGATCGCAGCTCAGAATCTTGCTGCAGAGGAGGAGGAAGAGAGATGGAAGAAGGTGCCTTTTTCAGAAATTAAGGAGATTTTTGAAATATGGGGTAAGATGGAAAGATTTATGGAGAAACATCACCCTGAGAAGGATGTTGCAAGCCATATCGGCAACTTGTACAGTGACAGGGTCTTGGCCCATTTTAGGGAAGTTTTAAAGAGACACCAGAAACAGAGCTCTCTGGACAGTTTTTTTGCGAGACAGGACTCCAGTGACTCTCAAGCTGGTCCTAGTGGCATTAAGAAACAGAGAAGAGAAGTAACCCCAGAAAAGTACTTGGTACCTGAGGTGTTGATGGAAGGGGATTCCCCTTCCAAACAGTAATTCAATCTGTCTCCTTCTCCAGTCTTCCATACACTAAGAAGAATCGCCAATAAAGGTAAGTGTTATGCTGTTAATGTTTCATTCATCATGTGCCATTGTTTTGTTTATGTACTACATCTATATTTCATGTAAAAAAAATTTTGTTTTAATACTTCTGGGTGTCAGGAACAGATTAATTGTATTTACATTATTTCTTATGGGGAAAATTGATTCGAAAATTGTCTATTTCAATAATAGTCCCACTTCCAGGAACGGATTATGGACGATAATTGAGGGACCACTGTATTATTATTATTATTATTATTACATTAAGAAGCATCTTTCCATCATACATTGCCCAAGTTTCAATAAGATAGTCCAACAAACAAATGAAATACAGTTCCCTAGATCAAGAACAAGAGCCCCTCACCAGCGTCAAGGCACCTGCCTTGAGGTCTGCTCGCTTATGGAAAGTTTGCTCGCGTATGGGAGCAAAAAATTGACCCATCGACTGCTCGTATTTGGAAAAACTCAAACATGGATGCGCTCGCAAGTACTTGTAAAAATAAAGATTATTATTATTATTGTGTTGAACGCCTGACACAGTTTCGATACTTCATAAAATACAAAAGTGAAAGGGTCAAAAATTGCAGGGTAATTTTAACTTTTGCTCTAGAACTTTCAGAGGTAAGGAAGACCATGTTAAACTTGGGATTCTTAATCACCTAATGAATGCAAATCATACAAATTCAAAAACAGCTGGTGGTGGTCACTGAAAGTTCACAAGCGCACTCAGTTCCCACACTGTCTCCACCCTCAGTACGGGTGGAGACATTAAGACGTGTTTCCTTAAGACACCTGCTGTCCCTGTTCATCAAGCAGAAAATAGGTACCTGGTTGTTAGTGGACTAGTGTGAGTGGCATCCTGGGGGACAAGATTGAAGGACCACAATGGAAATAAGACAGACAGTCCTTGATGATGCACTGCCTCTCCTGAGTCATCCTGGGTGGCTAACCCTTCGGGGTTAAAAATCCAAACAAAATCATATCTTAAAGCAAGACAAAAAAAAACTTCGGATTTACCATCTGGCACAATTTCTCCTAGAGAGCGGTTGATGACAGAAATATCAGTGATGGGTGGAAGATTGTGTGTGGATTTGAGCGTGGCACCATCACATGAGAAGTCTGCGAGTGGCAGTAGCTTGGATGGCAGTCCTGCCACCACAAAATATTCTGCCACACGGCGCTCTTCCATTCTGAAAGGCAATAAAACATTTAGTAGAATCCGTTAATATTAAAGATTTATTTATTTACCTATTGCAGCACGAGACAATGTTTGTAACAGAGAAGGGTAACATTTAACTGTTCACACAAAGAGTCCATAGTTATGAAGAGTATTTTGGGCAAGTTAAAGACAAATTTAAGACTACAGTAGCAATAACTATTAACTGCTTATACAGGATCATAAACAGTGTGTACTGGATATGCATTTTTTAAGGCTTAGCTCTATTGCTCACTCAATATATGATACTGTGAACCTGTTATGAGGCTTTTATATGCATTTGAAATTAAAAAAAAAAATAAAGGCCATGTATCAATTTACAGTGATTTCTGATTTACAGCAATAGCTGTTGTAAGAGCAGGACCCCACAGTAGCCCGGAACCTAACCTCCTGCTGCGTAAGTGGTGCCCGCCTGTATATTACAATATTAAGGGCATATAAACAATAAATTCAATCATTACAAGGAGATGGACATTATACCACAGTAGTTAATCTATCCTTACATATATTATCTCTCACACTCCTCTATCCTCACAACTCTGTCATCCATCCACTTAAACACCTCACTCATTCACTCACTCAAACTTTGCTACTCTTAACTAAATCATCTGAAAATATAAGCAAAAATATATCATCCCCCCACCCCAAAAAAAAAAAATTAAGTTTCTCAAAATCTCATCACAATACAGAGGTCATCTAGCTGGTAATGTGCTTAATTTTAATATCATGTCTGTTTCTACAGGGGAATAAGTCACTTTGTCTGACCTTTTTTTATTAGCACATCGACTGTTACCCACCAAGGCAGAGTGACCCAAAAAAGAAGAAACACTTTCACCATCGTGGTGCCCCCTGGTCTGGTGGCTAAAGCTCTCACTTCACACACTGAGTGTCAGGGGTTCGATTCCTGGCAAGTGTAGAAACATTGGACGTGTTTCCTTACATCAGTTGTCTATGTTCACCCATGAGTATAATAGGTACCTGGGTGTTAGTGGACTGGTGTGGGTCGCATCCTGGGTGTTAGTGGACTGGTGTGGGTCGCATCCTGGGTGTTAGTGGACTGGTGTGGGTCGCATCCTGGGTGTTAGTGGACTGGTGTGGGTCGCATCCTGGGGCAAAATTGACCTAATTTGTGGGAAATGCTCAGCATAACAAGTGACTTTCTATATAGTAGTATGTCACTGATGTCAACTATGGTCTGTACACCTTGTACATGTACTGGTAGTAAATAAAGTTATTATTATATTATTATTATTATCATTCACTCCATCACTGTCTCGCCTGAGGTGCACTTACACTACAGTTATAAAACTGCAACATTAACACCACTCCTTCAGAGTGCAGACACTGCACTTCCCATCTCCAGGACTCAAGTCCGGCCTGCCGGTTCCACTGAATCCCTTCATAAGTATTACCCTGCTCACACTCCAACAGCACGTTCCCTTCATAAGTATTACCCTGCTCACACTCCAACAGCACGTTAAGTCATAAAAATCATTTTTCTCCATTCACTCCTAACACACACATGCACGCCTACTGGGTTATGGTGAGTGATTTATACTATGTATTATTATTGTATTTATGTATACCTGTGCTTAAATAAACTTACTTGGGATAACCCAAAAAAGGGCAAATTGACTAATTTGTGGACTAATCTCACATAACCTGTACTTTCTAACTAAGTAGTAGTGTACTGATTTCACTATGGCTGTACACCTACATGTATGGTTACATAAAGTTATTATAATTATTAATTATCACACTCCACACGCGCATTAGTCACTTATCATACATATTAATAATGCACTTAAACACCACTAACCTCATAAAAAGTAGAATACTGACTTCCATTTCCGGACTGTAGGCCTCCGTCCACTTGATCCCTCATAAGTTGTAGTTACTTCAGCACTCCAACAGCATTCTCAAATATCCCTCATCACACCAACATACTGTTAAGTCCTGATAAAAATAATGTCTCCAATGACACTCCTAACACAGCCTGCAACCTACTGGTTATGGTAGTGTTTATATATGTACATATGAATGCTATACCGTGACAACATAAACTCTTTTGGATAACCCAAATAAAAGGTCAACAAATTGACGATTAATTCCACCATACCTTGTCTAATTAACCTATGAGGTCATATTTACCTAGGAAAAAGCAAATTATCATACCTGCAACACTACATACATATCTGTGTTATAATACCCAACAAAGTATGTACCTACTGCAGACTTAGTAATACCCATATAGCTACATAGTCTGAAACTCCCACCAGGATAACGGTAAAACCTTCCACCGCTACCACACTAGCCACTAGTAGTAAGTTATTATACAACCCAAATAAAATCAACACCAATAACCATGCTTAAAATATACTGATAAACAAAAAATGGTAGCCCGTGACTAACCAACGTAGCTCTATCAACTAATGATCTAGGTAATTTAGGTCCAGGTTCATCTACATAACTACCATACACAATATACCAGACTATACTAAACCTTAAATCTCCAATACTGGTGGAGGTGGCGCTAGCAACCAGTCCAATACATGAGTTTGGCTCGGCTACACATCAGAACTCATTTCGATGGGCGCTTACATTCCAAACCCAGTGAAAGGTCAGTCTGTACACTCAGACCTCAGTGATGGGTCCTTAACAACCCAAACCCGTGAACGCGCTCCCCAAGAACCTACAGTGAGGGTCGCTTACACCACCAAAAACCTTTCAGCGAGGGTCGCTTAACACACCAAAACCCAGTAAAATGGTGCTTTACAACAAACCTGAGTGATGGGTCCTTACACTCCAGAACCTCAGTGATGGGACGCTACACTCAACCTCAGGAGGTCGCTACACTCCATAACCTCAGTGTGGGCGCTTACACTCCAAACCTCAGTGATGGGTCGCTCCTCCAGAACCTCAGTGATGGGTCGCTTACACTCCAGAACCTCAGTGATGGGTCGCTTACACTCCAGAACCTCAGTGATGGGTCGCTTACACTCCAGAACCTCAGTGATGGGTCGCTTACACTCCAGAACCTCAGTGATGGGTCGCTTACACTCCAGAACCTCAGTGATGGGCGCTTACACTCCAGAACCTCAGTGATGGGTCGCTTACACTCCAGAACCTCAGTGATGGGTCGCTTACACTCCAGAACCTCAGTGAGGGGAGCTTACACTCCAGAACCTCAGTGATGGGTCGCTTACACTCCAGAACCTCAGTGATGGGTCGCTTACACTCCAGAACCTCAGTGATGGCTCGCTTACACTCCAGAACCTCAGTGATGGGTCGCTTACACTCCAGAACCTCAGTGATGGGTCGCTTACACTCCAGAACCTCAGTGATGGGTCGCTTACACTCCAGAACCTCAGTGATGGGTCGCTTACACTCCAGAACCTCAGTGATGGGTCGCTTACACTCCAGAACCTCAGTGATGGGTCGCTTACACTCCAGAACCTCAGTGATGGGACGCTTACACTCCAGAACCTCAGTGATGGGTCGCTTACACTCCAGAACCTCAGTGATGGGTCGCTTACACTCCAGAACCTCAGTGATGGGTTGCTTACACTCCAGAACCTCAGTGATGGGTCGCTTACACTCCAGAACCTCAGTGATGGGTCGCTTACACTCCAGAACCTCAGTGATGGGTCGCTTACACTCCAGAACCTCAGTGATGGGTCGCTTACACTCCAGAACCTCAGTGATGGCGTCGCTTACACTCCAGAACCTCAGTGATGGGTCGCTTACACTCCAGAACCTCAGTGATGGGTCGCTTACACTCCAGAACCTCAGTGATGGGTCGCTTACACTCCAGAACCTCAGTGATGGGTCGCTTACACTCCAGAACCTCAGTGATGGGTCGCTTACACTCCAGAACCTCAGTGATGGGTCGCTTACACTCCAGAACCTCAGTGATGGGTCGCTTACACTCCAGAACCTCAGTGATGGGTCGCTTACACTCCAGAACCTCAGTGATGGTCACTTACACCTCCAGAACCTCAGTGATGGTCGCTTACACTCCAGAACCTCAGTGATGGGTCGCTTACACTCCAGAACCTCAGTGATGGTCGCTTACACTCCAGAACCTCAGTGATGGGTCGCTTACACTCCAGAACCTCAGTGATGGTCGCTTACACTCCAGAACCTCAGTGATGGGTCGCTTACACTCCAGAACCTCAGTGATGGGTCGCTTACCCACTCCAGAACCTCAGTGATGGGTCGCTTACACTCCAGAACCTCAGTGATGGGTCGCTTACACTCCAGAACCTCAGTGATGGTCGCTTACACTCCAGAACCTCAGTGATGGGTCGCTTACACTCCAGAACCTCAGTGATGGGTCGCTTACACTCCAGAACCTCAGTGATGGGTCGCTTACACTCCAGAACCTCAGTGATGGGTCGCTTACACTCCAGAACCTCAGTGATGGGTCGCTTACACTCCAGAACCTCAGTGATGGGTCGCTTACACTCCAGAACCTCAGTGATGGGTCGCTTACACTCCAGAACCTCAGTGATGGGTCGCTTACACTCCAGAACCTCAGTGATGGGTCGCTTACACTCCAGAACCTCAGTGATGGGTCGCTTACACTCCAGAACCTCAGTGATGGGTCGCTTACACTCCAGAACCTCAGTGATGGGTCGCTTACACTCCAGAACCTCAGTGATGGGTCGCTTACACTCCAGAACCTCAGTGATGGGTCGCTTACACTCCAGAACCTCAGTGATGGGTCGCTTACACTCCAGAACCTCAGTGATGGGTCGCTTACACTCCAGAACCTCAGTGATGGGTCGCTTACACTCCAGAACCTCAGTGATGGGTCGCTTACACTCCAGAACCTCAGTGATGGGTCGCTTACACTCCAGAACCTCAGTGATGGGTCGCTTACACTCCAGAACCTCAGTGATGGGTCGCTTACACTCCAGAACCTCAGTGATGGGCCTTACACTCCAGAACCTCAGTGATGGGTCGCTTACA